TTGAGGGGAAATCAAAATACCAACTGTTGGGAAATTGTCCCAAAAACCTAATTCTGAAAGATGGCAGTGGTCATTGGACATTGCTGGAGATATCAATCTATCGTTGATTTACCTGTCGAGGGAATCAACACCAAACTTTTCTTGGGGAGAGAAGTCAAGGATACTGACCTTGTTAAGGAAAGACATCAAGGACGTCGATCTTGCTGAAGAGTAATACTGAGTTTACCCTGCCGCTGAGGGAATATCCTTCATCCTTACCTTGTTGGTGATATGTGTACACCTCTGCTGGTGACAATACTTCTGATCTGATAACAAGATTCTATGGGAAGAGACAAACTCTTTGCTATGGAAAGACAAAGAGTCTTCTCTTGAACAAATGCCTGACTGCATATCAACATCCTTCTACCTGAAGTAGACAATCTTCGAACACTCGTTGAGGAGTATCAACCAAACTCGGCTGGGAAACAAAATCTTATGGACTCCTGCTAGGGGAGGAATGATTAAAAACTTCACCGTGTTCTGTTGAGGATGTTAGAACTTCAACAATATTTGTAGGGGAGAGACCTCTACTGGAAAAATGAGATCAAACAATCCTCATGTCGGGGAATGTGATAACATATGAGCCACGGGGAATGATTATGCTAAATACAGTTGGGCTTTTGGTTTAGACTATGGACCATATTTTTAGGTATTTATTCTTGGTTGTTAATGAAATTGGACTCTAAAGGGGAACTACCAGACGAGATTTGGTATTTAAAGGGTAGACTACCAGACAAGAACTGGTGATAAAAGGTTAAGTTATCAGATGAGAACTGACTTCTTGTTTTGGTATCAAACGGGAACTGACTTTGTGGTTTTCCATACGAGAATTGGACATTGAAACTGTGTTTACCAGATGGTAACTGGTTAAAGAATAGGTGACCAGATGGGAACTGGTTTAAAACTAACGTGTACCAGACAGGAACTGGTATTTAGTGGATGGTTGGCCAAACGAGAATTGGTTTTGAAGTGATTTAGGTTACAAAGTTCTAATATGTGACAGATTCATGTTGTGGGATAGAACCCAATGATAGAATGCAAAGATATGAAGATTTCTAACAATGGAATGGGGGTCCTTTGCAGCAGGGCTTTTTTTTTAGAAGGATAAGCTTATGATGGGGTGATGGCACGATTCCCTAACACTCGTCTTGAACTCAACAGTTGCTGACAAAATGAAACTTGCTTGAGTAGCTTGAAAGCATGGAGAGGATTTTCCCCAGTGTAGTTTAACTTTCCCCAGTCTGGTCCTTGGGAAATTTCACCTTGAAAAGAAAGTAGCTTTCCATGAGATAGTCTCGAGATGGCTTGCCCCATAATTATGAGTCATGAAAGGATTTGTCCTCGATTCACCGTCTCTCAGAGTGGTTGGCCTTAACGTAATCTTGAGGTAGCTTGCCCCTAATTGGTAGAGTCTCAAAATTATTCACTTTTGAACAACTGGTTCTTGAATGATTTGCCCCATAATCAACTGATGCTTGGAGATTTGCCTTAGGATGACTGATTCCATACTCATTGGATGTCAATGCCCCAGATCCACAGGGCTACAAGGTATACTCGATTCTGACCCAGACTGCTGAATGATTCAGTCCTCTTCGATTGCTCCTTGTTGGAATTTCCTCGATGTCAATTACTAACCTTCAATTAAAATTGTTTGTCCACGAATGGTAATTTTAATGCGATGCTCATGCAAGCTTTTAAAAAATCAATCATTATTAGAATGATGTGATAGCGTGTGATGAATGGACCAATAGTCCAGACGCAATGCTGATTTAGCTAGTGAAAGATACAGCAAGAAGAGGATTAGCAAATCTTGTAGGATTCAGTTTACGCAACCTTGTTGTAGTATGCCTTCAGAATAAACCCTACCTCTATTACGTATTTTAAGGGATGAAACGTGGTCTGGTTCACGGTTATTGAAACAAAGGATGAAGTTATTTAGAAACATACGTCTTTAGGCTTGGTCTGGTCAATCATAGAGGTTTTGAGTTGGTTCAGGGTTTTGGTTTTTAGAAACATATGTCTTTAGGCTTGGTTTTGATCTGACATTTTGTGGTCTAAATTATTTGAAAAACATAGAATAAAGTTATTTTTTCCAAGAAAATTTGACGGTTAATCATCGATTGTCTATGATAATTATATTCGCGCGGAAATGGGTTTAAGCCCATGCTTCGGGTCTTACCATTTCTCTGGTCGACTGGGAGCAGGAGTCACTAAAGTGGTTGGGAAACTAGGAGTGTATTGGGTGTCAATTGCCCTCCTTTTGTTTTGTGTAGGTGTTTGATGTTACCTTCCCCAGTTTATTCTCTCTAGAGATCTATCTTATTAGAGGTCTCAGGTTAATGTGGATTAGTAGTTTGGTTGTTTTTTTGTTTGTCTAGCTTGGTCAGTTGTCATGGTTATAGTCCTTACACATTTGTAGTACTCTTAACTTTTTATGTACTCTATTTCTTTTATTTTATTTTTCTGTTTAATACATAATATTTGCTTTGCAATTAAAAAAATCAACACATACTTGAATTTACCCCCTAGACCAAGGCTGTTATCTAGAAGTTGTGGATTAGTAGTTTGGTTGTTTTTTTGTTTGTCTAGCTTGGTCATTTGTCATGGTTGTAGTCCTTACACATTTGTGGTACTCTTAACTTTTTATGTACTCTATTTCTTTTATTTTATTTTTCTGTTTAATACATGATATTTGCTTTGCAATTAAAAAAATCAACACATACTTGAATTTACCCACTAGACCAAGGCTGTTATCTAGAACTTTGTCCACTTTCGAATTTTCTATTTTTTTTTATTTTTTTATTTTTTTTACTATAAACTCAATTTACCGTGTCTCTTTCTTCTTAATTCTCTTAAGACAACAATGTTAAATTATCTTAAGAAAGAGTTTTACCATCCATTATAATCATATCCAACTTAAGAAATAGTCTATACAATTGCGTGCAGAAAATACCTGATTTCTAACACAAAAATATGATTAATTTCGTTTTTCCGACAAGTAGATAATTATAAATAACTAAAGGTTAAATGTGTAACCCAAGTTATAAACAAACAACTCTTATACAATGGATGGATGTAAATTTGTACCTATATCTTTCAACAAACATAGGTGGTTGGGATTTTATTTAGTGCACACCAAAAAAAGATCTTGTTGACCAAACTCAAGGAACAATATACACACACACATAATTTATCATGGTTAATACACACTAAAAATAGTTGAATAAGTAGCATAAGGTAGAATGAAGTGGAACACTTCATCACTTGATTCAATTCTATATTACACCATGTTCTTTTTTATTCAAGGATTAAAAATAGCAACCTAGGCTTGAAAAACTGGACGGTTGAAGCCAATATCCTAGTTGAAGTATTGTTCTTTTGTTGGCTAGTTTCATGTTGAGTGGAGGCAGTAGAATGAATACTCTGAATTTGAAGCTTTTCCTTTTCCCTCAGTTTGGACATCTCGTTTGTCCATATATCCACAAGTCCAGACATCAGTACTATAAAGGCCAAAAACACTAAAGATTAGTAAGCAACGAAATAAGGATGGAAAGACACTTGTAGTGGAGTAGATGTTTGCTTTGAATTTGTTTGGAGTTGAGTGTCATATATATAATAGGGATAAAGAAGTCATTCGGTTAAGTAATAAAATATATAAATTAATGTTTGAGGCTAAATACTGACAAATAAATAAAACTTTTGAAAGGTTTTATGACAAGGTTGTCTTGTATATGCAAAACCACTAGCTATACCGTGATATTAGATTAATGTTATTGACCAATAGCGGTATCAGGCTTATGTATCTTGTATATGCAAAACCACCGCTAGTGATACCGTGGAACTATCATGTTAGTACTAGTTTAAATAAACTCGTGCCATCCATATAAAGTTGCAAATATCTGTTGGCTCAATCAGATTGAATACGAGGTTTGCATTAACACACTATATGTCTCATCTATTGCCAAGGGCTACCTCCCTCCCAAATGGCACGATCTGCTGTAGGTGTGGTGCAGGGATAACTATGATGATCAGATTATCCTTATCTTTAGAATATGATCCTCGTTGAGAGCATACTAGCTGATAAGAACCTAATATCTTATCAATTTTATATTTCCAAGATAACATTTTCTTATTGGTTTGAGCAAAGTCCATACAAGTTCCTATCTTCTATAAGGATGAGTTGCACAAAAGGACACTAAAATGATAAAATGACCTGAAATTTACATTACAAACAGTTCAGATATCAATCACCAGCCCAATCTTGGACCTGAAAATTACAAAATAAAGGAAAACGCAGTTGATTATTTGAACTGTATCTTTTATATACAAATACTGCATAAGATATGTGCAACTGATGCTTGACTTCAATTTTGCAGAGATGTAACATTCCAACCAAAATAATAACTGGATAATCCACACCCGGACTGCTACCATTCAGTGTCTTTTCTTTAGACCTTGGCTTCAAGAGCCCGGGATTCAAAACATATTCCTCGATAAATATGGCAGTGGAGGCTAGAGATGTTCAAAGCTGCAGTACATTGTTTACATCCGAAGAGAAGGCACGAGTTTTTTACATCTCCCACAAGACCATCAGTGAGCCTTGGACTTCTTTGCAGCATGTTGTGGGATGGCGGATGCAAACCCACAGGCATGGTGTAAAATAATAACTCTGCCAGGACAAATGCTGAAATCAAGGAAATTGCAGAACCTAAACAGAATGCAGTTCGATTCCTGCCATACATAGATTACTGATTGGGACCACTGGTTGACTTCACAATATGGCCAGACTAATGGGACCAGCAAAAATATGAGTGGTAGCTTCCTTATCACAAGGAAATAATCGCTTCAGAGGTCCTGCTCTTCACCTTGATCAACTGACAATGCCCGAGATCAGTTCTTGCATGATATTAGGAATGGGACTTCAGTGTAAAATGTTCTAGTATGAGAAACCTCTTGAAACCTCAAATCCATGGTGTCCAACCTTCGTACATGTTGCAAAGATTATCTGCACTAGTAGCTTGCTTTAGTAGATAATCTACTTGCTCTGCAATGCTAATTTCTCTGAAATTCACACAAAGTTTGGTATCAGACAAAAAATTCAGCAGAAGATTGAGTTCCAGAAAGAGCTATATATATACCCATACCTGCGTTCAGAAATATCTCGACCATCAATTTTCATCTCAACCCGCCTCAATACTGACAAGGCATAAGCATTTTTGCCTATAGATAAGTGCAAACACAAAAGGGCATATCAATTTTATTTCCAGGCAACTTTCAATCACATAAGATCTTATGAAGTCAAATGGACATAAATAATATGAGATGGGTGTAAACAATGCCACCAACCAATTCCAAAAGTACAATGCAGGGTTAAATAAAGAAACAAAAGAAAAAATAAATCATAAAAGCCAGTTCTCTTTACATTTAAAATAAAATAAAATAAAACACCACAAGATAAAATTAAGAGTTGACTTTGGAAAAATTTTCTAAGATATAGCTTATTACATCTCCTGACTTGCTTAGCTTCTCATATACAGGATAATTCAGAAATCTTCATATTAAAACCTAGCATAAGTTGTTTAAGTCCTTTAGAGTGATTCATATAGGTAATAAAGGAAATATAAATTTTACAACGTTCTTATTCTTTTACTGGTTCAAAACGAAATCCCAAATAATTATTTTACTAATGTGAGATTCTTTTGGTCTTTAAACCTCCGGTTCCCTAGCAGAGAATGCCCTGATAAGTTCAGCCAGGAGGTAAATAAAGTCTGGCCAAAGAATTTTCTAGCCAGATCTGAACTTGGATCCTCTCAAATGATTTTAAGTCAAATCACCTGTAATTTATGTGAGATTTAAATCAAATGAAAGGCGAAAAGAAATAAATAGTTGAAAAAAGACTTTTATATACCCCTTCCTATTCGAGTACTGGTATTGATGTCAGCATCGGGAGTTTCTAGGTGTTCTGTGCCATTCTTAGCTTTATTTGTAGAAAGTAGATCATCTTTACCATCAAATTTGTCTAAGTTCTCAGTTGATGGATTATGCGAGACAGCGGACCTGGCAACAGATTTATGACTGGGAAAAGGCGTAGCGGGAAGTTCGGTGGCCTCGTAAGTTAACTTGACAGAATCAGCATCGTTGAGATCAGCTTCCAGAGGAAAAGACTTTGGCACCTCAAAAAGTGAGATTTCTTCAACATCAGTTTGAGACAAGGAAGTGGTATGTAAATCACTGGTAGGGTTTCTGCTACTAGACACCTGTGAAAGCATATCTGTATTTTCTGCTGAATCATTGAAGCAATCAGAAAGACTAACTTCAGCAGATGTAATGTCCGATCCTGAGCTGCTACAGAAGCTGCTATCTGGTGGTGATATCCATCCTTTTTCTTCCAAAGAAAGTCGAGAAAAGCCAATAATATCATCTGTCTTATCATCATCAGACCTTGAGAGACTCTCCCCTTCTTTACCATCAAACTCAACAGCATCACCACCACCAGCATCTGATGTGGACAAAGCAATATCCTGTGATTTTACTTCCTGACTTTCTCCTATTCCTTCAAGAGCCTGAAAACAAAGAGCATGGATCTATATTTTTTCTTTCAAAATATATAAAGTAAAAAAGTACTTGCACAACTTTTTTGTGCGAATTTCATTATATAAATGTGTATACGCGCACAGGCATATATATGTATAAAAGAGAAACAAGTAACCAAAAACATCTTGAAACTTTCACATTACTTTGTGCAGATTCCCAGCATGGAGATTAGCTGTTCTTGCTAGCCTAGTTAACAACAAATAAAGTCCCTTCACAGCTGATGTCAGAGATGGCACCAAGGGCTTAAAGGTCTGACAAGAATCCCTGATCCTTAAACAGTATGATTGATATATAGCTTGTCCATGGATGTGTGATATTTCCTCCTTGGTCTCACTTTCCCTAGCTATAGCATCAGCCATAGCAGCTGCATCCTTAGACAACACGGATTCAAGTGGAAAAAGGATGGCATTCACCTATCAAAAACATAAAACCACCAAAATATAATTTTACTTTAGGAAGAAGTTTGATACCAGGAAATATAGAATGAACAATTACGACCAAAGCTTAACTGTCATGTTTATAAAGCTACAAAAAAGGATGAGAAAAACCTCTGAAAGATTTTCCATGAGTGAAAGGTGGATTGAAGCTGCCTCTTTCCCCAGATTGTAAACATCGTGTACATCTTCAGTTATTGCTAAAACCTACAAAAAGAAAGCAACTTTATGTAAGAAACACTCAATGGAATGCAGACCTAAGGCGATTAAAGGAATGCAGACCTAAGGTGATTAAAGGAATGCAGACCTAAGTAACTAATCTGTACAATTTTTATGTATCGTTGCAAGCTACATGTGACAGTAAAAATCCTTTTATGAATTAGACATCAATTGTTTAAGCTTGAGGTGACAGGAGATTGGGTAATCGGGGTCAATTTCCGTAGTAAACCTGATCCTTTTAACAAATCGGGATTATTTGGTGGGAAGGGAGTTTGTAATTACCATTACATGGTTAACAGGTAAGGGTTACAGAACTATAAGATTTTGAATAATACTAATATTCAACATATTGCTTTGAGAAAAGAAAAAAGGTCTTGTACTAAATACCCTATATCCCAGTTTGTGTCTACTGAAAAACTTTCTGTGCAGCATCAGAGTTTTATTTCAGCTATTGACTCTATTAGAGTCCCTACATCAGTACAAGAAGCATTAAAGGATAAGAACTGGATTCAAGCCATGAATGAAGAGATGCAGGCACTAGAGAAAAATGGGACTTGGGAGATTATTGAGAAGACAAATGACAAGAGGCCAGTAGGTTGCAGATGGATATATACGGTAAAATACCGATCCGACGGCACACTGGACAGATATAAGGCGAGGCTAGTAGCAAAGGGATACACCCAGACCTATGGAATTGATTATGAAGAGACATTTGCTCCAGTAGCAAAAATGAACACTGTAAGAATCATTCTTTCCTTGGCAGCTCACTTTGATTGGGAGTTGCAACAGTTTGATGTGAAAAATGCTTTCTTGCATGGAGATTTGAAGGAAGAGGTGTATATGGAGATCCCACCTGGATATGACCCTACTTTAGGAAGTAATAAGATTTGCAGATTAAAGAAGGCCATATATGGGCTCAAGCAATCACCTCGAGCTTGGTTTGGAAGGCTCACTCATGTTATGGTGTCCTTGGGTTATAAACAAAGCCAAGGTGATCATACTCTCTTTATAAAGCATTCTCAAAATGGTAAACTCACTCTTTTGTTAGTCTACGTAGATGATATGATCATAGCAGGTAATGATGAATTTGAGAAGATGAACTTGAGGAAGAAGTTGGCAGCTCAGTTTGAAATGAAGGACCTTGGAAAGTTGAAATATTTCCTAGGTATGGAAGTAGCATACTCAAAACAAGGCATTTTCATTTCTCAGAGAAAATATGTCCTTGACCTTCTCAAAGAGACTGGCAAGTTGGGTTGTAAACCCAGCAGAGTGCCTATAGAGCAAAACCACAGGATTGGGAGTGATGAGGAAAGTCCAAGGGTTGATAAAGCTCAATACCAGAGACTTGTGGGAAAGCTCATTTATCTATCTCACACCAGGCCTGACATAGCTTATCCGGTTAGTGTTGTCAGTCAATTCATGCATGATCCAGAGGAGAGGCACTTACAGGCTGTGGATAGAATCCTGCAGTATTTAAAGATGAGCCCAGGAAGAGGTCTATTGTTCAAGAAAAGTGAGCAGTTGTCTATGGAGGTCTATACTGATGCAGATTATGCAGGGTCGATTGTTGACAGGAGATCCACCACTGGATATTGTATGTTCTTAGGTGGAAACTTAGTGACATGGAGGAGCAAGAAACAAAATGTAGTTGCCAGATCAAGTGCAGAGGCAGAGTTTAGAGCCATGGCTCAAGGAGTTTGTGAATTGTTGTGGATGAAGATTATTCTAGATGACTTGAAAATAAAATATGAAGCTCCTATGAGACTTTTCTGTGATAATAAGTCTGCTATTAGTATTGCTCACAATCCGGTCCAACACGACAGAACAAAGCATATAGAGATAGACCGACACTTCATCAAAGAGAAATTGGACAGTGGTCTTATTTCTACACAGTACGTCCCATCAGGACTCCAGTTAGCTGATGTGCTCACCAAAGGACTCCCCTTAGAGCGGTTTCGAGATCTTACTTGCAAGCTGGGGATGATAGATATCCATTCCTCAGCTTGAGGGGGAGTGTTGTAATATTAGTATTATTATTATTAGAATATGTTGAATATCATACAGCTCATTATGAGCTGCTATCCTATACAACTTATTATGAATAATTAGCATTTATAGGAGAATAATTACACCCTTATTTAGATAGATGTATAGTCTATAAATACCTCTTATGTATTCTTTACAAGATATATAAAATATTTATAGACTATACATCTATCTAAATAAGGGTGTAATTATTCTCCTATAAATGCTAATTATTCATAATAAGTTGTATAGGATAGCAGCTCATAATGAGCTGTATGATATTCAACATATTCTAATAATAATAATACTAATATTACAACACTCCCCCTCAAGCTGAGGAATGGATATCTATCATCCCCAGCTTGCAAGTAAGATCTCGAAACCGCTCTAAGGGGAGTCCTTTGGTGAGCACATCAGCTAACTGGAGTCCTGATGGGACGTACTGTGTAGAAATAAGACCTTTTTTCTTTTCTCAAAGCAATAGGTAGGTCATCAAGGTTCAGCTCACAAGAATTACTAGGCTCAGGGTTAGGAACACTTACCTCAGGTTCAGACGATTGGACTTGTTGGGGCAGAACGGGTTTACCTTTCCACCTTTTTCGCTGGAACTGTAACTTGTATCTGTCAACGTTATTATGCACCGGTATTGGTACATCACCACCATCCTCATCATTATTATGCACCGGTATTGATACATCACCACCATCCTCATTAGGCATCAAAGGCTCTTGTATTACAGGAATAACAGGAAGAACAGACAATTCAGGAGACGACTCTGGGTCCTGTATTAGAGGAATAACAGGAAGAATAGACAACTCTGAAGACTCAGCTTCTTGATTATTCTCCCCCTGAAGCTGAGGATTGGGATAAAAAGACTCTGATTCCTAAAAAATAACATCCATGGATATATAGACACGTCGACTAGGAGGATGATAACACTTGTACCCCTTCTTATCTGAAGCATATCCTATGAAAATACATTTAATAGCTCGAGGATCTAACTTACCTCGATGAGGGCCATGAACATGGACAAAGGCAGAACAACCAAAGACACGATTCTGAAGACTTGACAAGATGGGCACAGACGGAAAGAATTGAGTCAGGACCTGCACGGGACTAACACCAGATAACACCCTAGAAGGTAACCTATTGATTAAATAAGCAGAGGTCAAGACAGCTTCCCCCCAATAAAATTTAGGAACATTCATTTGAAAGCGTAATGCTCGGGTGATTTCAAGAAGATGACGATTTTTTCTTTCAGCAACCCCATTTTGTTGTGGAGTGTTAACACAAGTCAACTCATGAACAACACCATTAGTTTTGAGAAAATTGTAAAAATTTTGGTTTACATACTCCTTACCATTGTCTGACCGTAACCGTTTAATAGGTTTTCCAAACTGTGTTTTGACCATTTGAAAAAAGTTAACAAACAATTGACACACTTCAGACTTATCTTTCATAAGAAAAACCCATGTAACCCGAGTACAATCATCAATAAAGGTAACATACCATTTTGCCCCAGAAATATTGGAAATGGATGAAGGCCCCCATACATCAGAATGAACAAGATCAAAGGGTTCGACACTCTTAGTATTACTAGGGGAATAGGTTGCTCGATGAGATTTGGCAAACTGACACACATCACAATGAAAGGAATCAACAGACACTTTGGTAAATAAGTGAGGGAATAGAGACCTGAGCATCTGGAAAGGAGGATGTCCAAGACGCCTGTGTTGGAGCCATATTTGAGTATTTGCCCATGACTCTGAACCAGCCTGATGACACTTACTTTCCTTATGACGCAGACAATATAACCCGTTCTGTTCCTCAGCAATTCCAATCGTCTTACCTGTGGCAAGATCCTGAAAAACACAATGAGAATGAAAAAAGGTTACTACACAGTTCAAGTCTTTAGTGAGTTTATGGATGGACAAAAGATTGTTAGAAAGCTTAGGGACATGAAGCACATCATTTAGATGGAGAGATGGGCTTAGGTGGATGTTACCAGATCCGACAATCGGGGTTTGAGACCCATTTGCAACGGTAATATGGTTTTTATTAGGTAAAGGTGAATAAGAAGAGAGATATGACATATATGGAGTCATGTGATCAGTTGCACCAGAGTCAATAATCCAGATATCTTTAGAACAAGAGGCATTAAAAGCTAAGGAGCTAGAATTCTTACCCATCATGGTCAGAGAACTAATGTTAGAGAACTTACTCAAGGAGTCCATAGAGAGAAACAAACCGTCTCGAACCAGGAGAGGATCGAGATCTACTGTTAGGAGAGGATCGAAGGGCTGCCAATTAGAAACACCAACAACGATGACAACCGAACAATCAAGGGCTGCAAACAGCAAGTAAATAGAGGTACGGCAATGAAGGCTGTCCTAAAAAAAAGATGAAGGTGAAAACGTCCGGATCTGCAACGGCGGTTGAGCGGTGCACGATGGCTGCAAAGTCACCGAGATCACTAGGGTTCCAAGAGAAAGGGAACCTTGAAAAAAAAGGACCGTAATAAGAACGGCTAGTGTTTTGAGCGCGGAAGCAGAGCCCCTAGAATCGGGAGCTCTGATACCATGTAGAAATATGGAAATATTTTATATATCTTGTAAAGAATACATAAGAGGTATTTATAGACTATACATCTATCTAAATAAGGGTGTAATTATTCTCCTATAAATGCTAATTATTCATAATAAGTTGTATAGGATAGCAGCTCATAATGAGCTGTATGATATTCAACATATTCTAATAATAATAATACTAATATTACAACAGAGAATATGCAATGCAGGATATCACTAACCAAAAGGATATCACTGACCAAAAGGCCTCCAGCTACATAGAAATTAGCAGCTTGGAAATTATAATATAGAACCATATAAACAATACATATCAAATTCTATAGACCAAATAAGAAAATTAGTTCAGAATTATAATCCACAGTAATACAAGGCGACATCAAATACTTTAAAAACTGCACCTCTTCAAGCATAGAACCACACTCAGAAGTTAAAGCAGTATGCATCCTTGAAACCTGAGCAAAAGCAGACAAAGCAACACTTGCCTCATACGCACAATCCCTCATTGAAAGAACAGTGCTTTGTAAGTCACCTAAATAAACGTAAAGAACATATTAAATCAACATATAAAGTGACAATGCCGCTACATCCAAAAATCAAATAAACCGTGCATATGGATGTATGAACATCAATGTCCAAATACCCAGCAACCAGGATCAGTGAGATATACCAGAAGCTGATTTTGCTTTCAGAGAGGCAATGCCGAGTTCGTTGGCTGCAGCATATAACTCATTGGAAGCAGCTTCAACAGTGCATTGAGCAAGCTTCCACTCTTGTTCGGTACCTATTACAAGAACACGAGTGTAATGTTCAATTTCACAGGAGTTTAATTGGAGTGAAGAGGTGTCAACTATAGAGGAATATAGAAAACTCACGTGTATAAGAATGGAGAGTAACATCCAATCTTGTTAATGAATTCAAGTACAGTTGCTGCCATGTATTTCCATCAACACCACTCCTAGAGGGATATGGTTGCCCTGGTATAAGCAAATGCCCGTCTCTTGATGCTTCAAACTTTAATACTGACATGCATAACTTCACAATGTCTGATGCTTTTTCTCTAGATTCCCATAAAATCTCCTTCCGTTTCTTAATATGTTCATGGAACTCGTAAGGAATTCCGGAATTTTTAGTAGAGGTATTTCCAGAACTACTTGAACTTGGGCCCCCACAGGCCCAGCCCATTGCTCTCTCAAGCTGTCCTTCAGCTATAAGAGAAGGTTGTTCGCAAGACTGGAGGCTATCCAATGACGATGTGATTTTTGAAATAGCAGATTGTAAATTTTCCAATAACTTAGATCTGCTGAGGTTTAAAATGATTGGATACAAGTTGTCATCAGTATCAAGATACTTCTCATATGTGATTCTCCTGTTATATGATGGGTTCAAACTAGCATCATGCATCCATTCCATCTGAACTGCCTCAAGGGTAGTTTTTCGAAGAGCTTCTTTCAACTCACTCACTTGTCTTTTCATGAGAGAAGCTGCTGACTTTGCTGCTCTAGCCGTTTCATGTGCATTACAATATTCTTCAAGCATATGTAAAACCTTCTTCACTGCCCCGTCTTTTTTCACCTGATCTAAAGCAAGTTCCTTTGATGAATCTGTTAATTGTTGCAAGTGCTCCTTTTCTCTATCTAAAGAGGCCAACAAACTAGGGGCAACTCTTTCTTTCAAATAGTGACTAATGTGTTTTCGAAGTTGGATTTCAAGCTTTTTCTTCATAAAATTGAGTGACTGGTCAAAGCCTAGATTTTGCTCGACTGCCGAAGCTACATCATGTATGCATGCATCAACAAAAGAATCTATAACACCTACTTTCCAAATAAAAAAAGAATGGTCATCCAATAATCCTCCAACTTTCCAGATATACTCAGAAATGGAATTCCCAGAATTTATAAAATCCGCAAGAGTATGAAATTTACTTGAGGGGATCACAACAGAACAATCAGCAGGAGACAGCATAATATCACAGGATTCTAGTTCTAAGAAAGGCTTAACATGTGCAGCCAATAGTGCTTTACTTCTCAAAATATGTGGTTCACTTTCTTCTTCCACACCAACTAGAGATTGAAATTGACTATTCACAGAAACCAGGGAATTTTTAATATCAGCTTCTCTCTTTAAAAGTGAAGAAGTCCTTACATCCCTCTGACTCCATGTTTGATGAAGTTCGTCAAGTTGTGCTCTACAAGCTTCTTCTTGAGATGCAAGTTCCTCTGCCTCTTCCCATGAAAGATGATCCCTGCCCTTAACTGCAGCTTCTTCAAGAGCCAGCTGCTGCTCAGTAATAAGACCAACCTTAACAAAATAATTCTGCTCAAGTTCAAACAGTGATGCTCTCTCCATTTCAACCTCCACAACCTGCTCCAGTGCAGTTTCTATAGACCCTCGAACTTGTGATATCAACCCAAATGCATCCATAACTTCTGATTTTAATGAAACTGCAGACCGTATTACATCAGGCAGAACAACTTCAGTCATTTGACTAATCAATCCCTTACAGGAAGTCAAAATGGTTTTGAAAATGGAAACCCAATTACTTTCAGAAGAAGACTTTGAATTATCTTTGCTTGTATCAATAGAATGGATATCATTTCCAATAAAATGTCGTAGGTCATTGACAAACTCTGTCAGGAGATTACATTTTTCCACTTGTTCTTCAAACCAAGCAAAAATAGTTCCAGAATCATTCCGCAACATGTTGTATTGATTTCTTCCTCCAGACAAATCACTATATATATTGAGTATTCTATGCTTAACGTCATTATAAAATGAACTTAGAGCAATATTTAGAATTGTTAGTACTTTCTCCCTCTCCTCCTCTAGCTCACCTAAGAGCCTAGTACTGTTTGTCCCATGACATCTAGATTGAAGAGAAGACATTCCACCTTCTCTTTTCAAAAGATCAATGGACTGCATGAATTTCATGAAAGCTGACAAAAGATGATCCTTAGTTATTGATTCTGACTCTAAGCAAATAGAACTTTCTATTTCAGTACACTCTTTTTCCAATTTTTCTATTTCCATAGCATACTTCTCCACTCTAAAACATAGATCATCATGACTGGATTTGATGGAATCAGTGCTATCTACATGAAATTTTGCAACAAGTTCAGAAGCCTGCCTTCTGGCAAGAGAGAGAATATCAGATGACAGGGCATTGACAGATAATTCAAGAACTTGAGCCCAGCCATGTACAGCACTGGTTGAAAGGTAATTTAATGGTAAGATTCTTTGCAACGCCAAGGAATATGCTTGCAGAGAATTTATTGCTGAAGTTAGTCCATCATCCAACTCAGCTATGAATTGAGAAACTTCCCTATCTATATCATGACATTGTGCTTGTGTTGGCTCAGGAACAATAGTTAGTGGAACGCCTGCTAAAGTAACTGCAGATGTAAGAGATAAGGCAACTTCCATGTTACTCAGCTTAACATAAGAATTTATTTCTGGGATTAAGTTGCATCGTAAAGCATCAAGAATCCTTCCATGTTGCTCAGCCCAGGTCATTGTCTCCTTAGCTTTCTCAGCAACCATAGTCTTTGCTTGAGCAAACTCCCGAGCCTGGATTTCAAATGAAGCCCGGATTTTCTCTGAATTACGGGTTGCTTCACCAACAATTGACTTAGCAGATGTCTCGTGTAATGTAAGGCTCGACCTCTCTTGGTCAGCTCGACAGTATATGGAAGATGCAATCTCGTATTGGTTTAGAGCCTCGGCAAACCTCTGGTACATAATTCTCAAAGTCAATTCAAATAAAGAAGAATAATTGATCTGAGAAAAATCTAACCAAAGCTGTGATCTAAATGCAGCCAAAATTCATGGTATTTATTTAATCATTACCTCAAGTACAGATTCAACAGCTGGCAGGCTAGTCAGTAACTGATCATGGTGTTCCTACTCAGATTATGGAAAGAAAAAAAAAAGGCTATTAATAGTTTCGTATATTTGGACCAAAAAAAAGTAATGTTTTATATATCATGAAAGTCTTAGAAAATATATAAACACCTAGATAGGTTGAACTACAACAATTTTCACACCCAGGATTCGCTAATGAAGGTTACTACTACAAACAAAGAATTCAAATATGAAAACACATGCACATTTATGTTAAACACATGCAAACTATAAAAAAAAAACAAAAAAAAAAAATTATAAAAATTATAAAAAAAAAACTATCTCATGCATGTATAACCTACATTAACTAATGAATAACAAACATTCATGTGGATGCACACATTTGTCTTTAGCACTCAAAACTCAACTATATTTCAACCATGTGCATGTTCGCTTTAGTCTTTGCTTCACTCGCACTGTGCTATAGCCTTATTCTCAAAGGCATATAGCTTCATGCTACCGCATGGTCACACCACATAAAACCTGACTTTCCAAACACAATGAATGCAGCTCGTCAAATTATGTCAGGCCACATACAAACATACTTCTTTAAGTAGAAGTCATATGAATATATATCTTTTAGTTCAGAAGTACCTGTAAGGGAACACGAATTTCCTGCACTCGAGAAGCAAATAGACTTAAGCTAACAGCCAACTCCATGCCTTTCCTTTCTTCACCACCAATTGCAGCTTCATCATGAAAATCACCCCGTGTCCACTCCACAAGTGGATCCCAGACAAACACTTCTAGTAACATCAAAAGTATGTCTTTGTTCTTTTTTAGAATGCCAATAACTGCCTCACAGTTTTCTCTGAAGCTGCCCTCTATTCCAGTCAGCCCTAAAGCTGCTTCAATCATTTGGGTAAGACGGAAAGGAACAATCTCTGGAATTTTTAGTCTCTGTCCCTTGTCAAAACACACATTGTAATCAATATGTACAATATCCCCACCACAAAAATCTATCAGAATGTTGTCTAAATGTCGGTCACCCAGTCCCAGAACATGACCAACCATACTCATTGCAGCAAGGCTTCCAGAATACCTACGGATTGAAAAAAAAAGACAATCATGATAAGTTTACAACAACATAGGGTTTAGAAATACTTTCAAATAAAATAGTCAACAAACAGAATTTTGTATTCAACACCTGATGGTAACTAGAAGATCAAGACAAACTTGGTTAGTCATACGAGGAAATAAAGGAACAGAGGTCTAGAATAAGTTAATATGTGATGAAATAATCGCAAGCCTCCAAAGAGTAGGATGAAAAAAAAACTCTGTTTAAGGTAGCGGGCAAGCCAAAATATATAAATAAATCACCAGAAACTAAATCCACATTTATATAACAGATTTTAACCATTGATTTTTAATCATAAAAGCAACCACAAAATAAATAAGTAAAGGCTTAAAAGTTCCGTAAATATACCTTTTCATTTTTGAGCTGAAGGCTTTATATCCTTCGCTAGCACACCATAGTTCTTGGTAAAGAAGATGTCTAGGCACCTCCTTCATGAGATCAAGAAGAACTTTATATTTGACTTCATGGGGCCAATCCCTTCGTGATATCACTCTCTTAATGCCTTTCTCTTTAAGTGCAGGTATGATCTTCCCATAAAACATATCACTGGGACGAGGAACAGGTGGAGGAGCTGAAGATTTTGTATTTGCAGTGCCTAATGCCAAAAACTGTGCATGCTGGACTCGGGTTTGCCAAGATTTAAATACACTGTAAATACTGACTACATTATCCACCCACTGGATTAGGCCAGCCCGACCACTGATTGGAGTCACAGAATAATAGCGAATTCCAAGAGATTTGCTGCATGTCGATGAAGAACGCAAAAAACCATTTATAGCCTGCAGCAATTGCATAATCCTGGCATCAAGGCGCAAATCTTCTCGTCCTTTAAGGAGATATGTATACTTTTGACCATCCGAACCAAGTATAGCAAGTTTCTTAGGCTTAGTCTTTGTTGATAAGATAGTGACTTGTTGGAGGAAAGAAGCAATAGTGACAACTCCTTGAAGATCGGTTGCCTTAACAGAATCAGGTATTTTCATTTGTTTTTCAAGACCTGGCATTGGAACATCTGAAGATGATAACAGAGCTAAGCGTGGTGCAACTTCTTGTAAGGAAATTGAAGACTTCCTCTGGTAAGAAGCCAAGGATGCAGCAATACTATCAAAAGGCCGCCATACATCCCCGAGAGCTGAAGAAGATGATGGAGGAGTCTTGAAGGACACAATAGCTGATTTCAATGGGTCTTTATACTCTTCTTGGAACCAAGCTTCATGAGGAGTCTCAGGTTTTCGAGAAGTTGAAGCCAAACGACGTTCCAAAGCCACAACAATTGGAGCCATCATTGCAGAATAACGAGCAGAGTTTATCTTTCTCTTCTCATTGTGACTGAGTGTGGCATTTTCTGCAATTCTTGCAGCCTCCTCTTTAAGTACATTTATTCGCCTCATCACATCTGCAATAAAAAAGAGTCAGTCCCATTTCTCTTCACTAACAGGAAATTTGTAAAATAAAAAGAAACAATGAAATCCATTAATCAAACACTACAAAATAGTCAATAATTCTTTGATGTAGTTTAATCAAAAAAAAATTCAGTGATTGATGAAATGTTGGAGAATAAGGAAAACAACCTGTGTGAAGATCCTGAAGAGTACCGAGCCATAATTCCTCCCAGAGAACAGTAACATTTCCAAGTTCATTTATCATCAGCTGCACGTCCTGAACCAATCGAGGGTAAAGCTCTCTCTGCATGAAACAAAATCTAATCATCCTACATGCTATTTTAACCAAGTAAGCTAAGGTCAGTATAAAATCAATAATTGCAATTGACATATTAGCCATACTACTGAGTGTGTGATGTGATAAAGATGTCTGGTCAAGCAAACAAGTACCCATCCAGATGCTTAATCAGCTGGAAACATACTGATATCCACTTGTCCCTCTGAAATCTAGTTTCAGACTAAGTAGTGCATTATTTAACAAGTATACCGAGGCAATTATGATGTTCAGTGTGTAACACACTAACACTTCAAACCCATTTGAAGACAACAACGCAAGCTTGAGATAGAACTGCTACTGCTAGGTTGCTATTGCTAATGTTGCTATAGGTTCAGATTTCTGAGCACTCATTTTGGGATGTGAACCTGAACTTAGTTAACAAATTGAATTGAAGAATGACTATGCTTAAGATATGAGAAAAGAAGAGTAATGTTATCAATTAGCGTCTTCAAACCTCTACTGAACAAACAAAATAATTTCAAGTTCAATGCACGGACCTACTCTCCTAAAAAACTTAGGTTGTTGCATAAAAGCGCATCTTGTTTTATATTTTTACAGACTCATTCATGCAAGAGCCATTTGGGCTGGAAGCATGTGATATGGACCTCTAAAACTGCTGACTGGGATTAATTGTGTTGATTAGGATTTATTATTTTATTTATTTTTAATAAGTTAGCATAACAGAATTTTTTAATTTCAGTATTTTTAGGATAAGATTTAGGATTGGAACAGGTTGTTACTATTAAATATTATATTATATTACCATTAAAATTTAAATGATAGTAAATTTAGGAAAAATTAGTTATTAACTTAGTCTAATTAGGACTCTTCATCTACTGTAGGCCTATTTAAAGCCATTATGATTGGGAATAAAGATCATCAATAATTATTATAAAAAATATTTGTGAGTTCAATGAGAGACTCTGTCAAGGACTAGTCCACTTCTGCCTTCACCGTAGGTCGAAGGAAAGCTTCTACCGCATCTAGGACTGTGTAACACGATGCCAGACAAGGGACTATAACAGCATGATCAGTACATAATTTCCTTATCCCTTTTGCTGAAATTCTTTTTAATTAAAAATGTTGACATAAGAGACCAGAAAGCAAGTGAGAATTTGCATATCTCAATTACACACGGCATAATATTAAAATATAATTATAAATACATTAAATATAGTCACAATAATAAATACAAGGATGTAAAATTTCCATAATAGTTGTAATTAGACATTTATCCTATTTACTATAATTCTAACACTCCCCTCAACTGAAGCATATAAATCATATGGACCAAATTCTAACACTCCCCTCAACTGAAGCATATAAATCATGTGGACCAAGCTCGATACATATTTAATCAATCCGAGGACCTCTCAAAAAAATAGGTAAGACATATGCCAATTGGTCCTGTTCAGTGAATATCTATATAATTAGACTTGTTGACATATGCCAATTGGTCCTGTCAAGGGATTAAGTTGTAGATTTGATTGTAATCACTTACTTATAAATATAACGTGGGCATCAAACTACAATTAAGTAACTATCAATGATATTTAGAGTTTTGCTACTTTCTCTCATCCTTTTATCTAGAATCTCACAACTTCATCAGAAACGACTATTTTAATGTGCTTGTTCAGTACTCTCATGGAGTACTAGATTTGAGGTGATTTGCAAGGCATCCCTGATTATAAAAAGTGAATGTCATCTATGAAATATCCCAAACCTCACATCCTTAAGCAACTATTTGAGCCATATAAGCTTACAAGTGGCCCATGGTTGAACCACATGCTTGCTTGATGCTTCGCATACCACTTGAGGAAGTTGGCATAGAATGGCTAGAGGCGCCCGAGGATCAGACACTGGCACACTAGTCTCAAAGACAGTTGCTTATATTTATACAAAAGAGAATAGGAGAGAATAGGAAAGAATCTCTCCCCACAGGTTTCACTTTACAATAGAGAATACTCCACTCCATTCACAATTACAATATTCAAAAGATACTCACTAACCTTTGTGTTCTTCTATTTATACATATACTCCCTAACTAATCCAAATAATAACTAACTTCTCTAACAACTCATAACTACTTTAACTACTCTAGTTGGCTATTATTCTATGTCCTAACAACTCCATAATTTCATAACTTCTTAGCTATGGCATCCATTCATTGGGATCTATATTAAGGGAATCAAATTTCTATAGGAATAACTTTGAGCATCATTGGGATCTATATTAAGGGAATCAAATTTCTATAGGAATAACTTTGAGCAGAGTAATTAATACTATTATGCTTAATTACAGTATTGAATTTTATCAATCCAACAGTCTCATTAAGAGTTCTTGTTGAACATACCTGTTGTAAATAAGTTATTTTTACTACTATTAATAATATTAAAAATTTAAGATGGTATCAAAGTCTCGTTTAAGATCCATTAGGCCACCCACCATTTAATTTCACGCCCCAGACGCAAATCCTGGGCATGAGAGGGGGTGTTAAGAGTCCCACATCGGACAATATATGGTCTGAACATGTGTTTATAAGTGGGGGCAATCCTCACCCTACTAGCCAGTTTTGTAGGGTTGAGTTAGGCCCAACCACACATTCTTAAGAATATCAATTCTACAAATTTTCATGAAATTATAAAACTAAGTAAATGTGTACAATTATATGGCTATATAATTCAAGTCTATATGAAAAAAAATTGTGTTTGATCATTAATATAATATGATCATAACTTCTGAAGCACAAACACCTTTGAGATTAGGTGTCTCCTAGTGTCCGACACGAATCTGACAAGTGTACCAAAAAAAATCGTTGCTTCAACACATTATAAACTATCCTTGGACACTTCCATCGGGATTAAAGTTGTGTCAAAGTAGTAATGATCAATTAAGGGGTTGAAGACATTAAATTGGATTGCATCAATTTTAACTTTTCAGCATAGTAGATAGATTGATGAAAGTGAAAAATTATCATATTTTGTTTAAGTTTTTTAAAATGAACCAAATTACTCAATTTAGATGCATCTTTAACAGAAATCTTCATATTTTATTTAATTATAATAATTAAATAAATATATATGTATCATTGTCGTTGTCGGTGTCGGTGTCCTATATTTTTAAAATTAGCAGTGTCGATGTTTTTGTGCTCATGTCCATGTCAGTGCTTCATAGAAGATAATCATTGGTTGGATTGGTAAAACTCAATGTTTATAGTGAATTATTAAGCGGAGTATATATATACATCATTATTTTTCTACTCAATTGGTGGTCTATTATTTAGTACTAAATAATGTTACTGTTTTATTCTTATCTTATTATTTGTGTATTATTACTGTTTTTTTCCAAAACTGTATACGGTAGTCAAAAACCAAATGTTCTTGTTCATTCCTTTAAAGTATTCTTTTGTTGTAGGCTGGGCATTAAGTGCCCATGCTGTCTTAAACCTTTATGATCTAGTAAGTGATTCATATTAAACTACTAACACTAATTCAGTAAAAGAAAAACTAGTTCACAATAATACAGTGCCGCCTCCTTCTCTTTTCTACCTCTCTCTACCATATAGCATGTCCAGAGCTAGAGCTTCTATTTCACACCAAAAAATGCAGATCGGTGCATATCTCAATAGTATATATCAGACATCAAAACTACTAAATCATTTTTCACTCTGAAAAAATTGACTAAAAACACAGCTCAGAGGGCCAGATCATGCTAGTAGAATTGTTGCATGGTGATAACTTTAATGCTAATTATCCACATGATGTGAAAGAAAATAATTGTTGACAAAAAAATATACAAGCAGCAAAATGCAAAAATAGTTGTTCACATTACCAGACAACCCAGCACATGATGAAGCTCTTCTGAAGGCTTCTCTTCATAAGCATTAACATCAACTAGAGTTGGGTAAACTATAGAACAAGGAGAGTTCTTGGCCAGCATGATCAGTAAACCCTCCAACTGCTTCCGAATTAATTGTTCAGGATGAGAGCTCAAACGTGCAAACAGTTGAGGAGTAACTTCCTAAAAAAACAATTCAAGCAACCATTCAGCAAACTAGCCTCCCTTTAACACAGAAAGAAGTTAAAGTAAGAGCTCAAGATCTAGAATGGAACCTGCCATGGCAACAAAGGAACAACCAAAAGAGAAGATGCAAGCTTATCTTTCAGTTCCACGCCATAATTGAGAAGTATATGCAATATATACAAAGTAGCCCTCAGAGTGTAGTTGCCAGTTTTTTGCTTGAAAGTGTCATTTTCAGAGCCAGGCATGTGACTATGGCCAAGATGAGAAGAAGAATAAGAAAGATATTGTATGTAACCATGAGCAGCATGTCCAAATAGGGACACTCTTCTTTTCCTCAAAGACCACCAAATATCTACAAAATTATCCAATGTAGGTACTATGTCAGATTCTCCCAGCCCAAAGTTTGCATTTAACAAACAAACCCTTAATTGAGAAGATACAGTAGCTAAAAGACGTTCTCCACCAGAGGTTTCTGCACCCGGTGCCCCTGCAACGGTTTCAATAATATTTACAACATGTGAAACCAATTTCTGCAGAGGATTGTTAGTACTTGAGTGCTCTGCAGAATCATGCAAAGATCTTTCTTCTTCTTGTTCATCTCTGAAACCTTCCACATCAATATTGTCCTGAAGAAGACACAAAAGCAATGACTTGATTCGTAGAACTTCATCCTTGGTCAATCTGAACCTCTCAGGTAAAATTTCTGGAACAAGTATGGGAGAAAATAAGCAAGAATCCAGGGAAGTTTCATTCTGAACAGGGAGTGAGCCTCCGGCTTGCTTAAAGCACCAAGAAGCATAAGAAATCCACGACTTGCCCATGGTGGGGCAAATACGAGAAGACAGTTTTGTTGTTGTTCCAATAATCTCCTCGGTAATAGAACCCAAATTTTTTTTAGAGTTTATATTTTTACTATTGCCGTCCTTGCTGATTGAAGTTGATTCAGTCATATCAAAATCTGCTAACATCTTTAGAACAGTACTCTCTAGATTCCAATCTGAATAATTCCGCCTTAGCCAACTAGCGAGTTTCAAGCATGCTTTGGCCTTCAGAATTCTCTCTTCCACATCAAATATTCTAGATGTTGGAGAAACCATAAAAGGACATAAAAAAGACCAAAGGTTTGTGAAAGCATCTTCAAATTTGTTTTCAGCATACTGCAGTAAAATGCTCTCGAATTGCAAATTTAACAGAAGATTGTGATGTTTCTCCTCTGGGCAAGCAGATATGTTATCTTTGATATATTTGTTCAAACGATTTGCCAGCAGTAGATTTTTTTGTTTACGGGCTAAACTATGCAAATTCATGCAGAATTTAAGAGTAACTAGAGAAGTTGGGGAAATGGTTTGATAAACCCGAAGAACTTTCAGCCATGGATTACAATCTTGACGGATTTTACTAATAGAGAATGGAAATGACTGGAGAGAATTTATTAATGACTGATGAGGTTGTTCGACCTTCTCATCAGTTGATTTAAGCTTGTAATCCTCTTCTACGAGGAAAATGCAGTGCAACTGAATAGCAAGAGGTGTTGCTTCAGCTAACCCATCAAGTGGCAAAACAGAAAGTGGTTCCTCCAACATTGACCTTGCATTCTGCAAGTCATGAAACACCTTATCATTTTTCCCTTCCTTCAGGAAGAGCAACGATTGAAGTAGCATCTGCTCGCTCCGTTGCAAGGCTAATTTTGGATCGAGGGTAAGCTCACTATTACTTTTAGGTGTCAAATCAAGGTATGACCAAGCAGCCTGATAATCACCCTCATCGAAACGTGCCAATGCATGGATTGCATTAACTTCATTGCCTGCCATTGTCAGAGCACCCGAATAACTTCTACCAGTGTACTTAGCGCGAAGCAATTGCAGTTCTAATAGCCAGGTTTCAAGAGATCTCCAATCAGATACAGCGGCATAACTCTCAATTACACGTGCTATAACAAACTGTATACCATCAGAGCCCAGTGAACTGAGTGACTCTTCAGTTTGTAGCAAGTGAGTAAAGTGAGCTGCAGCATTTTCATACTCGCCTCTTGCTTGATATACAAGCCCATTTATCCATGAAAGGGGCCCAACAGTTCTACACTCATTGGCGGACTGGTTTTCGTCCCCGAGTAAGGAGGAGAATGTAACTGAAACCCATTTTTGTAAACCAATCAAAGAATCTGGTTCAGCACTCTTGCAAAGAGCTAGTGAAATATGTCTTAAAACTTTCAAGACATCTCCTTTATTTCTTCCTCTGATACTGTGGAGGTTGTCAGCTACCTGAGCCCTTGGCTTTTCCTTCAAAGCTGACACAGAAAGATTCTTGAGGTCCTGCAAACGTAGTGTGCAGTATTGAATAACAGCATCATTGCAATGTAGAGCCAATCCAGCATTCATCATTGGTTCACATATACGAGAAAACCAATCCTCACAAACTTTTTTATTTGCGCGAAAGAATACAGAACTCTGACGGGTAGCAGATGGTAAAATGACAGAACCCTCATATGCATTGTATACATTTTTCTTTAAAGCCTCAACAAAATCCAACAGTAATCTCATTGGTAAAAGGTGAGCACCAGACGACCCTATCATGCTTAAGTTCCCATCATTTTGTTCATTATCAAGTTGCAAAAGGTGTGCCACGTCCAACAGCATGCGCTCCAGAGCAGCAAATGTTTGGGTAGGCCCACCAAGGTTAGTCCGCAGACGTGTAGAAATACAGTATCGAGCTGCTTCATGTACAGCCCACCAGGCACCAGCAATATTATTGATAGAACATATTCTTTCAAGTATACCTTCATCCACTTGTATATCCAACCATGGAAAATTAGTGCCAAAATTTCCTGTTTCTTCGGGCTGGTTTAAAATAGCATCCTTTAACCTCTCGCAACTATGGATGAGGCGATGGATCCAAGAAGAAAGAGGTGCCTTCCATCTTTGTGAAATGTAACTTAAGATTGACACCAGGTGTTGTGATTGCAGCTGCGGTGGCATCTGCTTCAAAGCAAATAATTGTGTCCAGTGCATCTTGGTAGTGTCGCCAAACCCGGGATCAACAGGTCTAAATCTCCCATAATCATAGAGACCACATGTATATACGGTAGTTGGCAAAATAAGTGCAAGTAGTCTCACATATGCATCTTGTATCTCTGTCGACGGATCCCCAAGTTTCTCCAATATCACTTCAGCTAAGGGATAAAAGCATACCGGATGCAAAAGTTTTGCTTGTACAAACATCTCCAAGGTTATTGCAACATTTGATCTTACTTCTGGTTCCCGCTCAAAAGTACCACTTAAAAGTGAGAAAACCAAGCTCATGACTACACCAGCATTTCCGGATGCCTCATAAGAGAAGCCTTTTGTGCTTGAGATCTTATTAACATTCTCACACAACTTTTGTCCCCAGTCAAGAGCTGCTATTTTGATTGCCAGAGGAGAAGAAACGTTGAGGGCTTTTACAAGGAGTTTGCTGTATTTTTCCAAATTCGCAGTAATCACGGCAGAAAGCCCATTACTAAATTGATAGTCATCATCCTCCTTTTCAGTTTGAAATTCAACAGAATCTCTGTCACGATTATGTTCATTTAGGGAACACTTAATTAAGAACTCGACTGAATTTAGCCTCTCCAATGTCTTGACAGCAGCAAACTGCAACACCATGAAGGCCTGAATAGGCAACTCAAAAGGATTCATCTTTTCTGTGATAAAGGACACCAACTTTTCCAACCTCCTAAGATACAATTTAGTTGTTTGTGTTTGGCCAATCAAACTGCTATCCCCAGCCATGGAAACACATGCTAATAGAACTTTCAAATCAAATTTGATCAGCGCGAACAATTCAAGTCTTGAAAATGTTTTAGAATCTATATCAAAAGTGTACTGGTCTGAATCTGCGGTATCATTTCCAATCACACTCTTCAACATCTCCAGTTCTTCAATCAATAGGGCGACAGCTTCATCGACAACCTCTGCATTCCCATGCTGAAGTAAGAAAACATAAGTAGCAGCAGAACTTCCTGTCACCAAATGATTCGGATGCAATCGCAGCTGAGAAACAGGTGCAAAAAACTGCAACAACTTCCGCACAGACGACGGGAGAAGGCCATGTTTTTGTAAGGATAATAATTGGAGATTAGTTTTCAAAACACCATGAACCTGAACAGAGATAATCTTCCCAAACCCAGTCTGATATTCCAAGCTTTGAAACAATATATCAAGTGCAGGAGAATAAAAACTCGAAAACTGTTCGCGCAATATCTCAGCTAAGAGAGTCAAACACTTCCAAGAATCTTCAATCCACTCGGACCATCCGAATTTCTGCCCAATCAAAGGCAAGCACCTGAGCAATCGAGGAAGCAACCCACTGAGAGGTTCAATTATCTGTTCAAGCATGTTCATTTCCAACAAACCTGAAGCAGTTGACTGCAGAATTGTCGAAAAACAAGAAAGCAAAGCTAAAAGCCGACGAAACTGCGGCGGTGTTCCAAGAGTCCCTTCATGAAGCAAAGCCTCCATATCCCCCAAGAACTTAGTAATCAACCTCAAAGACATCGTTAACCCACCAACCCAATGCTTCTGAAACTGCAAAAAACTATCCACAATAACCCTCCTATCCGATTTCACAAGGTCAGGCATTAAAGCCCAACCTAGAAGAAGATCAACAATATCATGAAAATGAGGCTGAAAACACCTCGGAAACTTCAACGATATCAACGTTATAACACCGAGAAGAGTATGAAGTAAAGCTAGCGAAGTTCTATCATCCTCTAGAAGCACCTGACACGCTTTGAGAATAGGTAATGCGTACCTTTCGGTTCCACCTACATTGAGAAACTCGCGAAGACCTTGAAGCGCGAGTTCTGTAGCATCAACGGTAGTAGTAACGTTGCTAAGTAACGGTAAAGCCCAACCGATAAAACGATCAACCAAATTACTGAGTATGCCATGATTCTGTCTACCGTTAGAAGGAACGGGAATTGAACAGATAACGCCGCAGAGTGCACCGTGTGCTGTAACCGCCGCTTGACGAACATCGAATGATCTGCAAAGAAATTTAGCAAAAATGAAATTGAAATAATGGTAATAACAAGAATTTAAAATGAAAAAAGAGGAAATTAGGTTACTTGTCGGAGAGGAGTTGGGAGAGGCCTTGGGTAAGGAAAGTGGCGGAGTGAGTGATGAGGAGGGAGTTGTGAGGGTGGAGGATGGCACGGTGGAGGGAATTGATTGCGGAGAGGCGAGAAGAGGAGTCGTCGTCGGGAGTATCGGGTTTTTGGTTGGGAAGAGCGACGGAGAGAAGTGCTGCTAGCTGCTGCTGTTGTTGCTGTAGACCTTGCATCGCTCATTTCCTTACTATTCCTCACTCACTGGCACTGCCCTGCTCTCTTGTTGCTGCTGAAGTCAGTGTGATCTTTCAGCTTGGTAAACCCCAGGACATATACTTTTCTGTTAACTAATACTCCTTTGGATTTTTTATTTTTTTTTTATTTTTTATCCCATCCCTTGGACTTGGTCTTGCACTATGCTTATTGTCTAAATTACCTTCTGATTTTAGAGATTTATTTTTGGACACTTTTTTTTAGCTTTCTTTAATTAATTATGTATATTCATTTCTGGAATATTTTCATATGTGTATTTATGGAAGAAAATCAAAAATAGAATATTAAAAAATCAACATTGCAATGATAAAGTCAACATTCATAAAATAAATCGGTGTTATATTGATGATTTCGACAAAAATTTAAATATTACATTTCAATAGTCCGGTGGACGCTTGCACATATCTAAGATGTCATCGACCGTTCTTCAGATCGTCGCCTCCAACTCGAGCGGAATATTCTCTTCCAGAATTGTATCTACGGAACAATCTAGCGTTTAGACGTTCCAGAGGTGCATATACGGAAGTTTCTCTGAACTGAATTATCTTGAAATTTTTTCCAGCGTTTAGCAGTTTAAAATTATTCTTTAGATGTAACTCCAGAAAAAACAAATTTTTGATCCAAAAAAATGTGCGTCTGGATATATATATCCGGAAGTAGGGCGCATAAAAGAAAATACGTTAAGTGCCTAATAGTATCAAGAGGTGGATTAAGAAATTCTCTTTTTTTTCTATATAGTATTAAATTAGAAAAATTTTGGTTTTTAATTTAAAATTTTATATTTATTATAATCAGATACCCGTCTGACTGCATAAATAAATTTATTTGATATTATAATTTTAAAATAAATAATCATTATATAAATTTAATTGTATTAAAATATAGAAAGAAATAAAATATGTGAGATGAGAGAAAAAGGGTTCTTTAATATTTAAAAATAAAAAATTTATCTTTTAAATTAAGGTAAGAGTTGATTAAAATAAAACATGGATTATGATATTAATGATTTATGATATAATAAGTTTATGGGTCATGCTAATTAGGGGTAGCAAAGCGGGCAACCCATCCCGTTTAGGTCTGACTCATTTAAGCCGTCCAAAAGCAGGGCGGGACGGGGCGGTCCAACTTAGGCGTTCGAGCTCAAAAATCAAATCTGCTCCGTTTACTAACGAGTTGGCGAGTTGGCGGATTGGCGGGCCGGCTCACCAATTTTTTTTTTACAATTTGATTTACTTCATAATTTACAAAATTGTTAATCATTACTAAAGAAACCGACAAATTTTAACAACGCATAGTAAAACTTTAACAAGTCTTAATGTAAATGTCAAATTCTTCAACATAAACAAAAACGTAACTATAATACCAAAAACACAAAACAAACACACTAAAAACCCAAAATAATTATTTTCGTTCAAAAAAGCAACAAGCACAACCTAGTTAAGGACATCTAGGGACACAAATCAAGAAAACAAACTAGTAAAAGTTAAACAAAGACAACTAAGAACCAATAACAAAAAGATAATCTTAATACTCCATGACAAACACTTCATCGATAATCATCTATGTCGTGAACATATAAAGTTTTGAATGATATCGTAGTCATTGGATGAAATCCTCCACCATCTATCTCCTTATCGTCACCTATTATTTAATAATCATCTAGATCAACAACATCAAAATTAGTAGATTTATTAATGGAAGCATCTCAAAAATAAAACAATCCAAGAAAATCAAAGCTTCATTATTTAAAAATTATCAATACAAATAATAAGCACCTCGTTGAGCAGTTTAGTGTCAAAAAATAAATAAAATGAGAACTCAAATAAAATAAAATACAAATAAAAATTTTATTATCATAATGAGTAACAGAAAATACCTTATAGCTTTAGAACTCGGCTCCAATGACAACGAGTAATAGAAAATAGAAAAGAATGTATTATCTATGTTTTACAATAAAAACTTTTTCTACTATGAGTGAAAATAAAGAAAGAAGTAGAGACCAATTAGTGTCTTCAAAATGAGGTGTTTGTGGTTATATGAAAAATGAACATTAGGGTTTGAAGAAATGAGGGTTGTTTTAAAGTATGTTTACTACATACCACATTAATATTGTTTTAATTCCAAGTAAAAAATAAGTTTTTTTAAACAAAAAGCTTGTGGGAAAAACCCGCCTCGCCCCGCCCTTGGCCCGTTTTAAATGTGGGTTAGGTGGGACGGACCAACACACCGAGTCAAAAACCTCGTCCCGACCCGCCAAAAATGGTGGATTAAACGGGCGGGTCCGACGGACCTAACTCGTTTTGCCACCTCTAATGCTAACCAGTGCCCAGGGGCACTGGTTAATAATTTCAAATAAAAAAAATATGTTATATTTAGTTCATTCAATACACACATTATTCTTTTAAAAAGTCGATTATTTCTCTTTCTAGTGCATTAAATACACATATATTTAGAAGAAAAAAATATGTTTTTTAATCTATTAAATAATGTTTAACTTACCATTTTAATTTCTTAACTAGTGCTTTGGGGGCACTTGTTAGCATTTCTCAAAGTTTATTTGACACAATATAAAATATATTTATTTACAGATGTAAATTTGAAATAATGACTTAATTGTAAAATGAAATATAATTATATAAACTCAATTCTATTAAATAATCATACAAAAAGAACGAAAAAAATAACTTGTGAGAAAAAGAGAAAAAAAAAAAAGAAATTTTTTATATTTGGAAATAAGAATTTTGTCTTTCAAATCAAGGCAGATTGTTGATTAAAATAAAATAGATATTATGATGATAATGACCGTGAGATCAAAAACTTATTTGATACGATATGAAATTTATTTAGATACACATGCAAAATTTGAAAATATTTTCTTAATTGCATGAACAATAATTATATAAAGTTAATTGTATTAAATAATCATACAAAAAGAAGGAAAAAAAACTTTGAGATGGTTACAGAAAAAATTAATATTTAGAAATAAGGATTTTATCTCTCAAATTAAGACAATCGTTGATTAAAATAAAATAGATATTATGTTGATAGTAACCCCTGAAATAAAATAAATTGTTAATTTTATTAAAATTAAAAAATAGTTTATTAGTATTTGTAGTAATAAAATATAAATAGAGAGAAAAAAATTAAAATGAAAGTGAGAAAGTGTGGGAAAAATAAATGCGAAGGTTTAGGAAATACCAAGTTAGATTTCTGGTGGACACTATAACACCCTTTTCTACCCCACAAATTAAATGGCAAAATATTCACATTTATCAGAGTAAAATATTAAACTCTATAAAAATCACCTCAAATGGCGTACATTTCTCAATAAATCAAATATAGGTCAAGGCTCCATAAACAACGGGTTTTCCCAAAAGATATCAAAAATTGCTCAAAAGGCAACGGAACTTAAAAAGGGCATAGTCCAAAGTTTTCCTTGTACGGAAACATAATCAAATAACAAAAATCAAATAAAACATGGTTTAACTCAAAGACCTCAACCCAATGTTACACTATCAGAGCAAGACCCTCTAAGTTAACCAAAATGGCCAACGACTCAAAACTCCAAAAAGATCCTCGTCAAACTAAAATGGCCAATGACTCAAAACTCCAAAAAGATTCTCGACGACGTCCACGGCTAAACCTGGTCATCTGCACGTTACCCATGTGGAGGCAACATTCAAACAGGCTGATAACGCGAAAATATATTTATAAAATGACGTATGTTTTAACTAATGTTTGACCGATTTCACCCCGAATTCGGGGCATTCTATGCTATTTGTCTAAGTATTATGCAGGTATTCAAAGAACATGTCCAAACAAAGCAATATGAAGTAAATGAGCGAAAACAAGTGGAAAATGGATGAAAAACCAAGTGAAAGCCAGCAGAAACGAGCCTGACTGATATGACGACCGTCACACAGCTGTTACGACCGTCATGCGTGTGACGACCGTCATGAAGCCATGACGACCGTCATGCAGCCAGAACGTGGCAGAATGAAATCACGTGCAAATTTCCCCCTCAAAGACCAAAAGTGTGGCCACTAACTCCTATTTTTTTGCCTCAAACCCACTTCCTGAAGGAATAGCCGTTAGATACTCTCCCTCTATAAAAGGAAGAGGTTGGGACCTGAAAAAGGGAGCCGAATTCAAGACAACGAAGTGCTGCCAATTCGTCTTCAGAGCAACCTTTCCATTATTCTATTCTTATTTGTTTCTCTTTTCATTCTCTGCATTCTTTGATATTATTGTAATTTCTATTTCCCTTGTACGATCAATTGGCACCAAGACCAGAATCCTGCCAACATTTATGGAGGATCTGCCCAAAGGCCAATTGGAATATTTTACAGGTTTTAAATTTTAATCGTAATTTCAGTTTTCATTATGATGCATGTTATTAATTACTGTTTTTATTTATGTATTACCATTTCTATTTCCATGTCTAGCTAAACTACTGTAATCGATATGTAATAATAATTCAGACGGAATTTGATAATAATTGGCGTAGTTTTTCTCTTTTCAAAAACTCAGTTATGGTTTTAGTTTTTAATCAAAATTCTAAATAAATCTTTGTCACGACAGTGAGAAGCTATTTACGGTGGTTTTGCCACGACAGTGGGAAACCATATTAAGGTACGAACCAACAAGCGACAACTGAGGTAAGACCAGATAGTAAAAACTAGGCATTCGATTTAAAAACAGCGAAAGCGCTTTAAAAAGGATTAGAACTTAGAGATTTTCAAAAGGTAACTTTAACCCCGAACGGGATAGCGAAAGCATACGTTCCGTCTTAGAGTTGCGACTAGCGTCAACAACCATCGTGAGACAAAAGTCTTTAAATCACTATTTTCTTCTTAAACTAAGTTTGAAAACATTTAATACGCCAATAAGTTGTCAAATCCCCGATGAACAAAATTATTGCATATCGATTCATAAATTCACATCTTAAGTAAAACCTTAG